AAAATTTTGAAACTTGAACAAAAATGCAACCTGCTTCCATCTATTTACCTATCCTTGCTAAATTCACCTTCATCCGTTCAAAAAAATACGAAATATTTGGAAATTTAAAAAAATTTGCATTAACTTCAAGCGGAATTACGTCACAATTTACTTGAATTTTTAAAAATTGTCCATGATCTATTTAATAATCTACTTATTTTAGAACACCATTTTTATTTCGTTACTGATAAAACATTTGGAGCGCTTTTTTACAAAATATTGTTTAAAAATCTGCATATTTTCACGCCAATTATGGCGCGAAAACCTACATAATGATAATTATTCATCAAGATTATAATTGGAACATTGTACATGACCTTATTTCAAACCTGTCATGTGAAGAACAGATTTCTTTACGGAAACTAGTGGTGCTATAGTAATGACAACTAGTTAAGTTTAACTTCTCGCAACTAGTTAGTTTTCTAATTTCTTTAGTCTAGGCTAGCTGTTCGTATCCCCCCCCCATCATCAAAGCTTTGCTACCTATCGCGCCACAAACGACTTTTTTTAAGTTGTTACGTCGCAACATTTCATTGAAAAATTTGCAATCGGACCTTGAGAAAATGTCTTTTTTTACGTTTCTGAATGAAAGACTTTGTCTCATTCTTTAGCAGAGAAGTTTTGAGTTTTTGAGAAACTTTATTAGAAAATTTATAAGAACTATATATATATATATATATAATATATATAATATATATATATAATATTATATATATAATAATATAATTATACTAATGTTTTTGCGAAGTTCTGTTTAGTAGTTAAACGCCATAGTCTGGTCGATCTTAATGTTGTTAATTTCCCATAGAACTTATACTTGTTGCGCAGGTGACTTCAAATGAACGCGGGCTTACCTGAGTCAGCGGTGATAATGCTGAGTGGCAACTCCTCGCGACGGCAGGCCGAGCAACGCTACTGGCGTGATCAACGCCGCTTCTAACCCAACCCTCACGTGGCTCGCTGTGGAGAGCCTCTACTACTGGAATGGCGCTGCAGGTAAGCTTCAAAGCAATTATTATTACTGAGAGTACCAGCAACTTCATTTGCGGTAGTATTGCATTAATTCAGACAGTTTAAGTAAAAAAACAACAACAAAAAACTAGTGTTTCTACAAATGACACAGACGTTCTCTTACTGGTTAATAGTCTACATAACCTCAATAATAGTTTTGTGGCACTCAAACGACGTAGGTCCCTTTACTACAAGCAACAACGTGTGAAGACAGCTGTATTCGTGATTGTTGCGGCGAATAGTATAAACAAACGTTTGTCTGCATGGTCTTGACACTTCCGACGCTTGTATGTCCATCAAAACCTAATTGTCGTGTTTGTAAATATGTTCCATTTTCCTTGTTAAAAGTGAATCACGCAAGAACATTTTCGGGAAATACGGATTTTGCAAATTAATTCAATTTTACCAATAAATGGGAAAAAATCAAAGCTGAACTTAGAGGATTTTTGAGTTAATTTTCTCGATTATACCCTAAGTTGGAATACATTATATGCCCATTTTTCGGTGCACATTTAATATTTTACCGATGGCAATTGTTTGTAAATATGGGGGTGATAGATTTAGTGAAACTTAGATACTGCCAGAAACGATCATTCGTTAACATATTTGCATATGTATTTACTTCCACGATCCTGCTTAGTTCAACATTAATATGATTCCGAAACTTTCGTATTCGATCATAACTATCATATAAATTTATTTATTTATAGTATGGAGGAGAAGATTATCTGCGCACGTTTTCTCATGTTCCAGAATCCCTTCCCATCATTCTAACTATAGATACATGAAAGATGAGTAAGAGTTAAAAAAAGAAAAAAATTAAAAAAGCGCGAAATTAGCAATATTTGAAAAAACTAGACATTTTTGATCTCCAGTTATAGAAAACTTATTTGCATCGGTAAATGAATTTCAGGTAAATTTTTTTGCATTGATAACAAAAAAGTAATTTGCCCTTACCTGTACTCCTTCCATTACAAGCAAAAGTGCGAGAGTTCATCAAAACGTGCGCATGGTGAAGCTACATTTACGTCTAGAAGCAAAGCAAGAGGCCATCTCAGCATTTGCTCAATGGATCAGGGAAACTGAACAAGAAACCTGACCGAGATGGGGGTCATTGACCCGAAGATGAACTACATGCGCCGTGGAAAGCGAGAACGCTCACCAACGAGCCACCGAGATATGATTTTTCTGCTTTTCTACAAAATAGTAACTCGCCCTTACCTCTACTACTACCATTACAAGCAAAAGGAGAGTTCATCAAAACGTGCGCACGGTGAAGCTACATTTACGTCTAGAAAAAAAGCAAGAGGCCATCTCAGCATTTGCTCAATGGATTAGGGAAACTGAACAAGAAACCTGACCGAGATGGGGGTCATTGACCCGAAGATGAACTACATGCGCCGTGGAAAGCGAGAACGCTCACCAACCAGCCACCGAGGGCGATTTTCTACTTTGCACGAGTTTCGATTAAGTTATAGGCTGAAGTTGTGTGCGGGATGCAGTACAATCACCTTTAAAATCCATTCCCTTACGGTGAGGCGAGACGGGAAGACGATGAGAGCCGACCCTCACGATCGCAGGACGTTTCACCAGTCGCCGACCACTTGGTGTCAAAATGCTTTGGATATGAAATAGCTAGTTCAACTCATATGCAGCTTTTGACAGGAATTTTCGTGCATTCTTTCCACAATGGCGTGAATTCTGGCGACCCTATGTATTAGAGCTATGTATTTGCTCGCGAATCGTTCTACAAGGACCACGTATACATACATCTTCCGTGGCTCAGTGTCATTATTGCGGTGGCAGGTGCATGTAACTTTAATTGGGGATCAGCATTTCAGCATTTAGCTGAGTCCGACTTTTATTCCCCAGGGTTGGTAGCCCTGCGGGTATGAAATGATGATGATAATGAGGGGTGAACGGACTACTACTGCAATAGTGCCTTAGCGATCTCAGCCATCTGATATATATAAAGGCCATTGGGTTGTGAGAACAATTGTATTGAGTGTAAAATAGGAACGGGCCAGCTACTCGAAAAATGGGTACAGCACCGGCCTTCGGCTTCTTCGTGGAGGCATACAAAAGTGGCAGGAAAGCGATTCCCTTCTTTGATAGTAAGAATAATCCTTCGAGAGGAGTAATTAACGGTTAGGACGCCCCTGAGTAATGTCCTTTGTACATCGCTTTTTGTTTCTGCTCATCGCACTGTGATTCCTGAGTGACCGCAGTCACGTGTACGATGAAGGAATGCATAAAGAGTGTGATAGAAAAGAACTTTCCTTATCACATCGACATTCCTCGATATTTTCATGTGGAATGGGCTTTCGTAATTCTTTCAATGTTCGAGGAAACTAGGTGACTATTTGTGGGCTGGGTACGCTAGAAATTACTTAGGTTTTATATTTAACGAACCACGAGGAAAGTTGTACCTTATCCGTGGATTTGTTGTGGATAAGCGGATGCCAGGAAAAATCAGTTTCTGACATGTCTCACGTACTTTATTACAGTATAGTGTTTGAAGCGGAAAAGGCATTTTTTCTACACAAATACATCGGTTTTGTCCCTGATACCAAACATTATATATTACACACACACACACACAACACACACACCAACACACCACACCACACACACACACCACACACACACACACACCACACATATATATATATATATAATATTATATAATATATATATGTGTGTGGTGTGTGTTGTGTGTGTGTATATATATATGTGTATGTATGTATATATATATTATATATTATATATATAATATTATAT